GTTGTCGCGAGCGTGTCCTTGAAACTTGAGTTCCAAGTGGCATATACAACAGATTGTTTATTTACATCAAAACACGTGTTCAGTGTAGTAGTAATATGGCCAAAATAAAAACAGCCGTTATTCGGCCATCTTTGATTTGATTATGAAACACACTGATATGTATGATGTATGTGCCAAATACAAATGAAAATGGTACATAAATTGTGGAAATATAGTAGTAAGGCCAAAAAGTCAGATGGCTGTCAATCGGATGAAAACTGACAGAGCACGTCCAAGATACCGCATAAAAAAAAAACAAGATGCCTGCCAGTCGACCATCTTTGATCCAATTGCGAAATAAATCGTCATGGACATGTATCCTAACATGTATAATCTATGTACCAAGTTTGAATGAAAACTGACAAAGCATGTCCAAAATACAACATGTTCAAAAAACAAGATGGCCACCAGTCGGCCATTTTGAATCGAATCGCTAAACCACTGCATGTGCATATGTCCCACATAAAGTACTAGGCACATGCAAAGAATGAATGGAATCGGTCCAAGGGATTCTGAGATATGACGCCGGACGGACGCACAGACGCACGCACGGATGCATGCATGGATGCATGGACGGAGACCTAATTATAAGTCCCTGTTTTCGGACTTCGTTCGAATGGGAACTAAAAATGATCCACGAATATTGAAATCATTGCTTCCCACATACGGTACATTAAACAACACAATGAGCTTTAGTTACAATAATTTGTAAGATTCATGGTAGTATTACCTTAAACTTTGCAGTAACATCTGATAAACCAGGAATTTTCTTAATTTTCCAAACAACTGCTTTTTCACTTTGTTTATACTCAGCTGATTCCCCAACGCCAGTCACATAGGTAACAACACTGAAATAAACAAATGGTAATTACTTGCTTACTTATCAGCAGTTTATGATTCCAATGAATTCAATGTTTTATATCCACATAGACTAAAAGAATTACTATTCAAAATCACCAGTGTGATCATTCAACTACTTTGTTCCCATACCAACATCACTATGGTTACATCAATAACTTCAGCTATTCAACTTAGTTTTA